GAAGTGATACTTACTTTTGAAGAGATACGTTATTCTGAAACGGTAGTCAATTAAAGTTAACGTTTGAGAAAGGAAATTTTAAGTTTTTACGTCAAAAAATAAAGAGGTTTTCATTTGATTTCGTTTCATTTCTCATAGCTTTATTAGATGGCAATAAACCATCTCGTTTACGCCAGACGTATAATATCTAGACTGGCGATGGGAAGCAGCAGCAGACACTGCAATCACCAATCTAAGCGTGTTGTTTAAATAAAACTTTTCAACAGGGTACGCCCAAGTATTATCCAGTAGGATACTTTAGTGAACGGATTAAAAAAAATAAGATAAATGTAATCCTATTCTTTACGATACCAACAAACAAAATTTCAGAAGCTAACAAATATAAGTAATAAAATGGAACGGATTTAGTTTGTCTTTTTCCCTTTTTAAACCTGACCTAAAAACTGTTTCAATAGAAAGGGTATGTTATAACTAAAAATAAAGTTGAAACAAACTTTTGAATTTATATGTTGAGTAGAGACTTACAACGCAGGATTGTCCTGTTCCTTGGTTGCTCATTTTTCTTTCCCTTTTTCCGGGCCAAACGGTAAAGAGAAACTTAATTGGAGGCTTTCCTGCCGACTCTCAGACTCAATGAAAAATTACGAGCTAAACGAGCTCACGCTTGGGAATTTCATACTCATTCTCAACAGTCCGTGGAAAGAAATGGTTAGACTTTTTTTGCGTTACACTATTTTAAACCTGAATAAATATACTCGTATGAAGACTGATTTTAGTAATTTTAACGAAGTATTTCTTCCTAAACAATCGTTTATTTATATTACATATACATTTTATAGAAATGTTTACTTTTTAATTTATAACAAAAATGGTCATTATTTATTTTAAAAAAATTAAATAAATCTCTACGTAAAATTAAGTCGAATCTCAGAAGAAGAAATTTAATGACAATACCCAAGCAGTATGCTCAAGTATGTAAACCAGATTGAGTTTTGATAACGGCAGCCGGTCTAATGGACTAACCTTCACCGCAGGGCAGGATTAAAGTGCACATATGTGTATGCAATCATAGGTGCACTGTCTATCCCTCACTCTCATAGTCCAATGGGATGGAATTTACGGTGTATTTTTAGAGAAAACGTTAAACATTCATAGAATCTAAATGCAGGTTCTTGTCATATCTCAAGACTAAGATGGATTTCCTCGTCCTGCAGCTATATTATGATTGTAGCATGAATGGATCGACTCAAACGGGGAAGGACTCACCGCATACCAGCGTAAAATAGCAGAGTATAGAGAACCGAAGACCCTTTTCACTGGGTTAATCCTCATGGGTGACAACTCATCTGCATATTTATTCTTAATCGAAACAAGCGAATGCTGTGGCCCAAAGACATCTACATCTATCCTCGATTTAGAAAATGGAGAATGCGTTGTCACCCCGAGGATAAAGATGGAATGCCTTGTTCTCAGTAAACGGGGTCTCCAATTCTTTACACTCACCATACGAAATGCTGCTAGCATTAAGCTGCAAGCTGGTATTCTGTGAGAGCGTGTTCCTTCCCCGGCCGAGTCGACCAATTCGTGCTAAAACCATAATATTACTGTAGGGTGACTCTATCACGTATAAATGATGGGGTCATTTATACAGTTTTTTTTTAGCGACAATGGGGCAGAAATATATCGGCTGAATTTAAGTAGATAATTTATTGATGTTTTCAAAGGACTTTTTTAACTTACTACACCAATGCGAGCATGTAGTAGCTTTACGTTACTCGGTTTTTTTATTACTTTACCATTAATATGACTTTATCGGCAACATTTTTTTGTTTTGCGAATAATACAATACTGCGGCACTTCCATGAAATGAAAAAAAAACAACAATTTTATGATAGAAAGAAGGTTAAAATAATACAGCTATCTTATTTAATACCATGTAAAATGTCATATGTATAAAGAGATCAACTACAAGTATTTTGTTCCTATTTTACATAGAGCAACACGGGCCGGACCGGAGCGGTGGCCCGTTTTGTTCTGTTGTTTTAGGATAAGCTCATATTTACTTATAATACTACGTAATAATGAAAATCAATCGTGCTCATCGTTAGGTAATAAACTAGGTATGAAGCAATCAGACAATACTAGTAGTTCTTGCTCTTCGAACACTGAACCAAAACTCTTTAAAGGAAACAAAAACAAGAAATTAAATTTTTATGACATGTGAATAGCTATGTCATTTTATAATTACACTTTTGTGAGTCGTGGTAATTTCAGCGATCACTATTAATTTTCGTAGTAAATGAGCACAAGCCAGTTCAATACCCACCGGCGCCAACGAAAATTGCAATATTCAGTGCTTATGTATGTTTTATTTAACACTAGCTCGGCATTGAATGAAAAATGTAGAAGAAACCTACATGTCCGACAATTTTAACTTTCAGAAATAAGCATAAACAGTGTGACATGTAAATGCTGTTTCAATATTTTAAAAAATGTTATTATTATTTATGTTATTCCACCATTATTTCCATTACCATTACAGCCTATCAAAAGTCTAGAGCTGAAGATAGACCTCACTTATAGATTGCCTCATATGTGGGAGATATTTGCCGTTGTTTTTTTTTATATTTTGCGTTTTTTTTTAATATTTTGCATCTCCTATTTCATTTACCTCTGTCGCCTCTTATAACAGCCGCGATGCGTTTAGGGGTAGTGGATATTCTGACACCGCCATTACACGATGAATTACATAATATTATTTTTTATTATTAGATAGCATATTATATATTCATATAGATGTATTTGCGTTCAAATATAAAATAAGAAAAGTGCGAACATTGATTTTGATATCATATTGATAACAATAATACCTGTTCCATAGGGGGATCTTACGAACTATTGTAAGCATAAAGTCGATTAAACTCGTAATAAAATGTGAAAATAAATTACATAATTAAAGTTAATAAATAATTATCAAATTATTACTTCATAACAAACAAATTTTTTATATTTCTTTATTAGTAAAAGTGAAACGACGAAAAACATTCCACCTTGAGCTGCACGTTTTATTAAATACCATTTATTTGAAATTGGAATGTAATTTAATGAAAACAAAATGGGTACGTATATTTATTTTTCGTTTTGTTTAACATTATATATTTATATTATTTTCTTCTGCTACGATCAAAAGGATAGAAAATATTAATACAATAAATTGATACGATTAAATTAAAAAATGGACTTAAAAGTGGATTTATACTTTGACCCAATGATTTCATATTCCCGTCAAACTCCACCGCTGTTTTAAAATATCTTTTTACGCTACTGAACGTGAAGGGATACGGTATCAACATCGATGTGAATATTTCGCTTACCTTTGTTTTGCCAACCATAGAGTCATTATTAAGGGAAATGTTAGCAATATTAATAGCATTCCTAGTATTTAAAATAAATAATGCAGAAACGCTGGAGGACTTTAGAACTGTGATCAGTGACCTCTATAGTGCCTTCAAACCTATAAGCATCAAGATGAATATGGACAAGAGAAAGGTAATATGTAACGTCCTTATTTCAGCTCTATCGTTACTTGTTGGGAGCACTACGCTCAAAATTTTTGGCGAGTTTGTTTACCTAGGACAAAATTTCCGATTAGATAAGTACAAGTTCGACCGGTCAGGGAGGTCGAGATCTCAATTGACAGATCGAGCTCGGCTGGGCAGCATTACAATAATTGGGATATTACGACACATCATCTTCAAAACAAGATTATGCAATTAGTGCGTGTCGCCAGACACGACATATGGATCTGACACGTGGTCCTTCACTGCTGAAATGGAATGGAGAAGCTCAAGGTCGCTAAGCGAGCTGTGAAAATGGCTATTTTGAGTATTCTTTGGGAAAGAAAAAACATATGCTTAGCAGTGGGCTTGTAATGGGCTCTAATATTGGTCATGATGATGAAATCGATTACTTTTAAAACTTATTCTGTAATGAGCTCCGGTAGTAAACACAACGGTGGACTATGGTCTCATTGTATTGTCTACTGGAAATAATGAGAATTCGGCTTAGTGATTGAATAGAGATTAAATGATTTTCCGTGTGTCTATAGCTCCATTATTAATGGAAAATATATATATTCATATAATTTTTCTTGCCGTATTTTTAGTTTATTTTTAAAACACACCCTAGATAATAAAAATCATTAGGTTTTTAGGAAATTTATTGCGACAAGATTATGATTTTACAAGGTGAGGCTACTTTTTGCCTCGGCTTTCGTCTAATTAGGTATTACCCTCTTACTTGTTTTTACCGCCAAACAACGATTGCTGTATTACGTTTTGAATTGCTTCTTAGTCTTCAGAGGTAGCAACATACCTATAGGCATCTTAGTTAGTCGGTGCGCACTAGTAGTTAGGCTGGACCGTTAGCTCATTTGTCATCTCATATTATAAAAAATAATATCTTGTGAAAAAAAACCATTTAAGGCGTTCAACTGATGAATATACTATCAAGAGATGGTCAAAGTTCACATTTTAGTTTCTTCTTTATTTTTGTATTTATGTTTTATGCAACTTTAATATATATGAGACATAAGATGAGCTCTAGTAGTCGTAGTAAGTAGGACTTTATGCCAGAGTAGTACTTGAATGTTCTTTTACGAGTATGTCCTCGTAACTCGGGATTTCTGTGTTGATACGGTGGACGGCAGCTGCGCTACAGGTTTGCTGACCTTCCGATAACCCAATTCTTATTAAACTTTACATGTTAAAGATGTGTGATCAATTACCCATACCATACTATTGATCATAAAAGGTACATTTGGATCTAACATTTGTATCATTAAATTATTCGATAGCAAAACAAACAACTTCCATAATTATTAATTCATTTTATTATCTTTAGCAATTATTTACAATATTTATCACAATGTTCACAGTCAATACACAATTATTTATAATTACAAAAATTACAAATATTTATTTAATTATACTACACATTTTCTATACACAACTCTCAGGCCCTGGTAAATCTTCTGCTATAAGATGGCCTCGTTTACTTAAAGTCATTGTGTTCATTGTGACTGGTAGTTTGCTCGAAACCGACATTTTGGGTGAAGATAGAATCTATAAAACAAAAAAAAAATATTTTATTTTCACACAAAAAATAGTCCAGGAAAGAATTTTAGAGCCTTCCATATACTTATAGAGTAACTCTCTAACGTCTTTGTGACAAAGATTAAATTATACTTATGATAACTTCAAGGTTGTACAAATTAATATAGAATATAAAGTGAGCGTAAAATGACAGGCTATAAAAGTCTTAATTCTGAAAATCGACTCATCGTGTTGAGATCGCATAACCCCCGGGTTGCAAGGTGTTATCGGGGCTACTTGCGCGATAGGTGTATCCTGTACATCCGGAAATATAAAAGGGAGATCCGGAGGGAGATCAAACGTGGGGTTCCGTATGGCTCAGTGCTGGGGCCGCCACTGACGAGATCTGGCCAATGATGCGGTTCTGCACGTCGACCTAACCACTGGCATAGACATCGACTGCTATGTCGACGATGCGTTGATGAATGCCAGCAGGGTTACCTTCGAGAGGGCCTAGGAGCTCGCCGAGGTAGGGGTGGAAGTCATCGTCGCCAAATTCCACGAGAGGTTATTAAAATTAGCACCTCAGAAGACCGAGGCCTTATGATTCCTTAAATTACCACGGGGAATTTAACCCCTCCCATCTCGTGCGTCTGTGTGTGGCGTTCTATAGTCCGAGTGGAGGCGTATACGTTGTAGTACTTAGGCTTCTATCTCGACAGTCGCTTGAGCTTCGAAAAACATTTCGATTGCCTAGTCCCCCGTATTCAAAGGGTAACGGGTGTTATTCATAGATCTATGGAGATCGATGGAAAAAGTGCGTCGCCTCACAGATACACTTGTCATAAGCTACAGACGCCCCGTCAGAAGTTGTGTACGGGGCGTCTGCATAGCTGAAAAGGCTAGACATCCGACTATGCACAACTAAAATTTACAGTATTTAGCGGATGATCCCGTCGCAATTCCGAACATGAATACATCTACAAGCCAGAAGACTCATCGACTCACACTGATAATTACCGGCCACGGGTGCTTCGGTATTTATCTGCTTACGATCAACGCAATGCGTGGGCAAATCACTTCCACTGCGGTGCGCGGGATCAGAAATCCTAAACGACGGATGCTTGCAAAATGTCTAACGTAGAAAGGTTCACCGTACACCCCACTGGGTGTAAGTTTATCGACTACCTCATATCGTAGCGTGAATGTCGTAAGAGGCGACAGAGAGAAACAAACCAGAAAACTAGCAATTGGAAAATCCACGATAAAAAAAAAATAAACTTAAGCCAGGGAAGTTCCAGTGCGAAGTTTGTAATTTACAAATTGTCGAAACATTTTGTTACGCACGTGATTTTGTTCCGTAGATTTAAAAAATGGGCGGATGTATCTCTAACCTTCATATTAAACCCTCATCATTTTGTAATTGTAACTAAACAATAAAAACAACATTACAGAAATATTTAAATTGTAAAATACATGCTAGAGCATAATAAATGTTATCATTAAGGTTATTTTAACTTACCGGGTGGAGTGGATCGTGATCGTGGCTAGCTTTTAGTGAGTTGTGCTCACTCATAGCCCACTCGTCGTTTATGAGAAGTGTTTCATTTTTGACAGCCACTTCTAACTTACATTTTCCATTTGAAGAGCTTTCAGAATCTTTAAGGAAAAATTGTTTGTGTTAGTTTTTATTCCATTATTTTTTCTCGTATTCATGCAGTTTAAAATATTTATTAGCTCAGAATGGTAGTTCAGGGGTTAAGCAAGAACACAATCACCACTTATATTCTTAATTGCAAAGAAACAAGAAACCTACGTGTCCGAAAAAATATATTTCGAGGATATAAAATGAAGTGCATCAACACGCACTGGCTAACAAGTTTCGTTTTTGATGTAATTTGGGCTCCCATTGCTATGTTCCGATTTAAATGATAAGGTATATAAGCAGGTATTACTACAGTCTCTAAATCTATTCATTTACGACCTCAGGAGTGACATCATGTTGAAATTAATTTTCAAAATTAAAATTATTAATACGTCGTTTTTAAGAACTTTGTATTTAATCACCTATTGTACGCCTGGTATATATTTTTTATAAAAGAAATATTTGGTTCTAAGGCTTTAAGTGTCGCATAGAACTATTTCAAGCCCCCAGATTATCTGTTGAAAGTCACTGGTTCAGCAATCATTTAGAAAAAAAGTTACTAGACATGTTTAAAATTTAAGTTGAGAGAATAACACAATCATTTACAATAAATTTAATTTTTTTTTATAGGACAAGGGTGACAAACGAGCACACAGTCCACCTGATGGTAAGTGGTTGCTGTGGCCCATAGACATCTACATCTATCTTCGATTACGAATCAAAATGCAGATGCGTTGTCACCCGTTAGGACTAAGATGGAATACCTCGTTTCCAGTAAAAAGGGGTCTCCGGTTCTCTACACTCACCATACGAAACACAGCAGCGTTAAGCTGCTATTTTACGCTGGTATTCTGTGAGAGCGTGGTCCTTCCCCGGTCGAGCCGACCCATTCGTGATACAACTATACCAGTAATATAGCTGCAGCATGGCTCTACCACGTACAATGTTTAAATAGTTCTACTGTGTCATCATTTTCCTTTCGAACATTGGATGTAGGAGGTTGGCTTTGGTTCATTTCCATCGATTGTGTTCTGTAAGCATATATTATGAGCTAGGCAATAAAAAAAATATACAGTCATACACAAAAAAGACTTTCTATTTTCTATGTATGACGGCATAAAATCTTGCTTGCAAAAGAAATATAAATCACTAAACTCAAATCACAGAAGTCACTAAACTATGCTATAATATTGTATGTAGCCAAAAAATCTTTAGTCTCTAAATGCTCGAAATCTACTAGTTTTAGTGAGAAAGTTGCATAACTAGTAATACTGAAGGCTAAGTCTTTTTTTGATTATACAGTCTAATGTGATAAATATATCCCAAATTGAGTATTTAGTAAATTTATTAATTAAATAATATTATCAGTATATATTTTTTTTTACTTTTATATAGCCAGTATCAAGTTACATTATTGAAGCCATCGGAATAATTCAATAAAGTTGAAATAAATTTCAGCTTATACCCCACTTTCAACGCTTCACACAGTTCGTGTTGTAATGAGTCTTTTGGGAATACGAATAAAATTTGGTTAGCTTTATTGCTTGTACCCTATGGATTCATGTTGTGTGAAAAGTTGGTTCGAGATAAATTTAAAATTGACATACGAGTATAGCGTTGTAAATGTACGTGTTTGTTTTTCAGCTTTAAGCTGCCCGTTTTATCCCAATTAATCTTACACAAAAATGATTAATTGTTGTTTATACCAGCAATTTTTATAAATACATTATTTCACGACTAAAATCTGAAAGTTCGATTAAACTGAGGTTTATATGGTTGCATTTAGGTGTAATAGATTGCGGTTAGTTAAACTTAGATTTATACGATTTTATCATGGCTAAAACTAGGTGTGGCTAGTTAGTTATTAGTAAGGTTAGATATTGTTAAGTCCGAATTTTAAATAAAACTCCTACTATGACTTCTATTAACTTTGTCAATAATACGATTACATAAAGCAAGTAATATCAGCGATGGTAGGTTAAGAAGGCCACCTTAGACACACCAAAGCCGCGGACATATATGTTATTTATAAATTATTCGTATAAATTGAATTCACCTATACGTAATCCACCTCAATTGGCATATTGCGTAACGATTCAAAGACAGGCAGGGTAAACCTCAACATAAGATTAAGTAAAATAATTAAAACAGGTTTTTAAATTTTACATTTAAAACATAAACTAGACCTTATATGGTATAAATATTTTTTTATTCACAGTGATAGATTAACGAAAGATGTGCTGAAGCTTTGATTGTCTTACCTGGCGGTGGATTTAAAATATCAGGTTGAGTCTGCTTGGGTGGCTTCAATGTAAACGCTACGACATACTGGCCATCTCCAGAATTTAATCGCAGCTGTGATGAGTGTTGCTTGGTTTGCGAACTATTTCTGTAAATGAAAACGCGTGTCATATAATCTTTTAATTATAATCGATTAATTAATTAATGTCAGATATGAAATGCACATTTTGTCTATAATAAACAAATAACGTAGTAAGCGAAGCTTGTCTCGAATTTTATTTTTACTTTAGGTGCTAGATGAAAATATACTAAATACCTTTACTAACTACTTTTTTAGACTTATTTTCTTCGATTTATAGTAAAAAGTAATTGCGAATTGTAAATGTCGTAAAAATCAATGTTAGTTTTTAATACGCTGTCAAAAGTATTTTAAAAACATATAAAGAGTATTTTTACTCTTAAAAAAAGTGTTTAGGCGTTTTTACACATACAGGGTTATTTTGCAATAACCGGCCTTTGCAGAGATGGTTCAGAATAAGTAATACAAGCAAATGGTGAAAAACAATAATTTAATAAATCTCTATAATTGTGTCCTATTCATGTTTATAATTCAAAATGCGTGGTAATGTATTATTTTAACTGATTTCACACGCACACATTCATAAGGGTCGATCGGTAAGCAATAACGTTGTTGCCCATAAATTACATTCAGTTTGGGACAATTTGAAATAAAAGTAGAAGCCTTATTTATTCGAATTTTCAAAAACTTCAATAACGGTATATCATTATTTATATATTTGATCTTCAGTTTAAAATTTGGCTAATTTTTGAAAAATAATCCTGTATATTTCCAGTTAAAGTTACCAAGCCAAAATCAAACATGTAGTAATTTTTCAAAATTCAAAAATGATCAATTTATTATATTAATAAATATAAAAAACAAGAAAAAATATGTGGAAATTTCATAAATATTGCAGTAATTTTCCTTTACCGCTTCCTCCTCAGAAATAAACCAGTAATCGCCGCTGTCACAGTACAAAGGACTACTGTTAGAATAACTGTCCAAAAAGCAGCTCTTGAGACACCTGCCATAAGGCTGTGGTTTCCATCTAAAATGTAAGGAATGATTTTAGAATACATATTTTTGAAATTTTTACTGTAGAATGTGATAAAAAATTATAAAAAAAAATTATGACATTTAAAAGTGCAAGTTTCAACTCAACGTTTTGATTCTAAAGGATTCGATTCAATTGTTTTTAAAACGTTTTTGTACGTATGTGCATACGGATAAATAGTACGTGTATACACGTTCGTACGTAGGTAAACTTATTTCTTCTTATATATCTCGAATTATTTCTTTCCATGCATAATTGCATGATTTGACACTTTAATGATTTTCAAGAAAATAGATTTTAATGTTTTTGAACAAATAAAAACAAACTTATAGTAATGATTTCTTAGGCTAAGCGTCCACTAGGCTCGCCGAGCCGAGTCGAATCGAATCGCAGAAAGTCGCCTCCTATATATTTACTATGAAACTGCGTCCATTAGCGACGAGTTGCGGCGCGCCGAATGAAATCGACCCCGCGAATTGCTTGACAGACGAATTTCTTCGCCGGTGCGATTTGATTCAACTCGGCGCAATTCAGTCGACGCGGAAAAGCGGATGCGCGCTAATGTATTTTTATTAATTTTTATTTCGTTTTTGTAAGAATCATTTTGTTTAAATAAAAATGAATGAAGAACTATTGATATCACTGGTCCAACAATATCCAGAATTGTTTAATCATAAAGGTCCACATTATCACGATTTGCGTCATGGACTAGCTGTCCTGGACGCAAAACCAACCTATTTTGATGAAGAATTTGCGATGAATGAACAATTCGATTCGCTTCTTCAGAGATGGATGTACTATAAATGCGACTCGCTTCGATTCGACGCATTTCTGCTGTAGTCGACGCCAGGCTTTATATTTACACGAACACTACACATTGACTGACACTATTTTTACGGATTTTATTGCCTTTTATTTACTTATTTTAATTCCCGACGTTTCGGGTGCTTTACAGCAACCCATAGTCACAGGGAGGACTGAGATCTTTGAGGTTCCGATGTCACAATCAGCCCGGCCACCTTCAGTTTTTGAATATTAATTTTTGGTTCGATTTACGCAGAATGAGTTTACAGTATCTTGAAATCCTGCAGTGGTATGCTTGGGTTGGGATTTAATTTTGTTAATTATAGGGCCCCAAGCAGATGGCAGCACCCATCTTCTCTATTAAAATTAGGATGTTTTACAATTTCAATAGACTCTCGTATTATCCTTAGTAGGAATCGGTGTTCTTTTGCGAGGATTTGTGGTCTATCGAATTTAATGTAATGGCGGGGACGATATTGAACATGTTCACAGACTTCCCAGAGCGTCGGTGCCTCACATCAACTATATTTTCTTTCACGACGGTTTTAATGGATATTTAAGCGTTGGAATTATAAATACTTCAAAAATAATTTTTGTAAGAAAGGCATTATTTTACAAAGTGCTTGTAAGCAAAATATTATTACGATTCAGTATGAAAATATCTAAAGATATACATTACTTCTACTTATTTCATATTTAAATACACTGTGTAAGTGGTGAAAGTTAACAAATTAGGCCAGTAGACATATTAAGGACGTTTATTACTTACAAAAGACCTTAAAGAAAAGATAACGGAGATGACAAGACATGATATTATAGTAGTGAATACAGGGCGCTAATGTTGCCATATTAAAAACAAGGCTTATTTCTAAAAACAAGATTATATCATTTACCACAAATTACACCACGCCTCCTTTAAATTACGATTAAACTTATAACATTGATCTTTTATATAGACAATGTTGTTATAAACATATCTAAATTAATTTTAACCCTAACCTATTGTTCAAAAATTTTTTCTTGTCTAAACTTTTATTTAACAAGTCTGCTAAGTAAAATTTTGTATCTGTTTATAGAATATCGATTATACCCTTTTCATAGTTTTCATTTATATAGTGATACGCTGAATTTCGATGTGCTTTGAATTTTTAGTAAAATTGCCATAATTCTTAATCGAAATTGCACCTGAATTATATTGATAGAAGTTTATAGGTTTATTAAATTTTACATTAAATGATTCATTTAACAAGTTTCTATAAATAAAATGTGATATTGGATTACCATTTTTGGAAACTAGATTTAACTTTCATTTTTACCTTTCTTTTATTACAAGCTTGTTTTTATTGTTACTTAAATTATCACCATTAACAAGGTATTCCACAGTAGAACTAGTTTCATTTTCATCTATATAGTCTTCATCAATGTCCTTTCCATCATCAAGTTTTTCTAAACAAATTAGTTGAGCATTTTCTTTTACTACCTGTACATGACTAGCATTACTTATTAAAGTGTTTAATAAAATTCTATAACCATTTTCATTATAACATACTAGCACTCCTAGTGGGGTTTCGTCGTCCCATTTACTTCTGGAATCCTCACAAAAACTCTACTTCCATAAATCTTAAAATGATCAACATTTGATTTAATACCGAAAAATATTTCATAAGGAGTTTTATTCTCTATTGTATTAGCAATTGTTCGGTTTTTAAAATAAGCTGTTGTTTTTATAACTTCGCGCCAATAGTTTCTGTGAATTTTAGCTTCACCAAATATGCATCTGCCTATGTCCGTAATTCATGAATAACGTAGGGTGGACATGGTAATAACTCTATTTCCTTTTTTGTCTTATGAAATCATAAATATCTCGATTTAAGTATTCTTTGCCATTACATAGCGCACTTTAATTTTTTGCTCTTCTATTAAATGTATTTTATACTAAATAAACAAATTCTCAAAAGTTTTTAAAACAAAGCTTTTCATACAATAACTATTACATCAATTTATTTTTATACATGTTATTTTTATACAAAAACCATTAATTATCTTGATTGATTATAAATTTATGCATTTTCACTTCTTACTACTATTGTGCAATTTTTAGTTATTTTTGAAACGCTTAACAAATTTTGCTTAATACCTTTAACAATATATACATTTTTTTTAGATCAATGTATATTTTATTATAATAATTTTTGAAATAGATTTTAACAGTACCTACTTTGGTTGCTTTTAACACTTTACTACCTGAGAGTTTCACATCAATGGTAATTTTTAAATCTACATAATTATAGAAACATGTATTATTCTTTATAATTGATCTGTACACCCACTCTCTAACAACCCATTAATTTCACTATTATTATCATATTCCACTTCACTACATCCCGTTACTTGATTTACTTCTGGACTATATACTGGAACATTCCATGACACAGAGCCATCTTGCTGAGTGCTGAACAACTCACCTCTTGGATTACGGCCACCTCGGCCACGACCTCGATGAACTCCACCTCTGTTGTAACCTCTTTGAGATTCTTGCTGGTGTTGACTGGTTGGATATCTTCCTTGGTAGATTTTTCTGACCATGCCAACAGTTCTTTTTGACATGGCTAGTCTTTCCACAAATAAAACTTGTGCTTTAGTTTTTTTAAGAACGTACTTATATTGTTTTTGTTGTCTGGATTACTACTAGTCATGTTTTTCTCGTTTGTTTTGGACTTTACATAAGCTACTGTTTACTGTTTGTTTCTCTGAAATTGCATCAATAAAATCTCTAATGTAACTGTAATTTAGAGGCAAAGCTCTAAGCAAGCATCTCATCTTCTCAGTTTCATTTATATTTCCGCTGCTTTGAAATCATTCATTGTTTTTTCGAAATCAACAAAACATATTCTACTGTATTGTAATTGTTTAATTTACTTTCTTCAATTTTCCCCTATATATTATTAACATAGTTTTAGACTGTGTTAAATACATCTTGTCAAACTTTTTTACCAAATCATAAGCTGTTGTACATTCACTAATATATTCTAATTTTTTATGGGAAATTGTGCTCATTATTATAGGTCTTGCTTTTAAATCCATTTTCTTCAAAACCACCTCTTGATTAATATATTTAGCAGGCGTCCTGCAAATGGCGGGCTCGTTTCATTCTTTATATTCTAGTAAAGTTACTAATCTTAGTATCCAGCTTGAATCAAAAATGGGCATCAATATGTCTTTGCTTGGTTAGCAATTTTGGTAACGATACCGTTTTTTATTCTTGGCTCTTAACTTACACGAGGCGCGAACTACTCTCCAGGTGGCCTTTTTCTTGATCTCACTATAATTTACTTATTTAACCACCCAACCACGCACTGCTACCATGTTGGAGTGGTGGAAGTTACTAAATTAGGCCAGTAGACATATTAAGTACGTTTATTACTTACAAAATAACTTTAACAAAAAAAGATAACGGATTACATTATAAAAGCAAGCGACGCGATCATACAAGACATAATATTAATTTAGTAGTGAATACAGGGCGCTAATGTTTCCACATTGAAAATAAGACTTATTTCTAAAAACAAGATTATAACATTTATCACAGATTACAACATACATACTAAATCATGATAAATACATAATAAATCTAAATGTTTTCTATGAACCAAACTATATCATCATTCAACATTTCACTAGTTTATGGAAATATTTACAACAATTTTAATTTAAGTACACTCTACCTGTCCGTCGCTCTGGATCTTGATAGGCCAAGGCGTTAAGCATGATCCTCTCAGAATCTCCCTTGTCATTTCTCGAAAATACTGTGAGCCTTAAAGCTGCATCATTCACCCAAAGTAATCCAACGGGAATAAGAAACATCGCAATGCCATCTAAATATTCAAGAAAATTATTTATAATATTAGTACTCAACATTTTCAAAATTGATGTATTCAAAAATATATATTACACTAAAAATATCGGAAAACATAAAAATTTAAAAATCTCAAAGCAAAATCCATTTTAAAAGTGAAAATTTAAATATACTCGTACAATAAGACGATGCAACATAATTTGTGACTTACTTGTCTCGTTAGCAGTAATGTTGAATTTAACTATACCAGTATCAGGATCCAAAGATTCTAATACCACTAATTGTGGAAGACCACCATCGAAACCTGTGACACAACGGATTATGACGTAATCTTCAATTTCATCCTTAAATGTATCTTCGATCCAATTTGAATCGTTACTGGTTAATACTGAGCAGTTACGAGGTGGTGATGGCCGTGCTAGAAGAAAAAATAATCGAAAAGGATACAGAACGTAATATTATATTTGTAAGCATTTAGAGAACATAAAAATTAAAATATTATTATTGCGTAGTTTACGTTTCAATTTATAGAATATAAAAGCCTGCGACACGAAATGGTAGTCGTAGTAGATATTTATATTTTATCACAAATATATTGTAAAATATATTATTTTTACATTTCTTATTTATAATATTTATTATATAACCCAAATTCATTAATTGAAATCTATTATTTCGATACTAACCAGCTGGCACAATCTGAAAAATACATGGCTGCATCTGTCGACCAACCACATTGGTACCCCGGCAGGTTAGCGCTCCATAATCCCTCTCACTAGCTGGTGTATAGCGTAATTCACTAGTGCTCCCATTAATAGTCCCTGAGTGCACATAAAATTTTATTCTATAGATAAACATATTATATGATTGATCAACAAACACAAATGGAGGAGCCATGGTAGCTCAGATCGTTAGCGCTTGCTGTAAGCTTTACAGTACTCGAGCAACCAGGGTTCGATCCCTGCCGGCACCAATGAAATTGTTGATTGCAATTTTAAGTGCTGATTTACCAGTGAGGAAACCTGCATGTCTGAGAAATAAGAAAAAAAATATTTCGGAGACATGTGAAGCTCGCCAACACGCATTGGAGCAGCGCGGCGGACATTTCCTTGCCCTAAAACCCTCTCAGAAATGAGAGGAGGCCTGTGCCCAGCAGTGGTACGTAAATAGGCTGCAACTTTACTAACTTTACAACAAACACAAATAAATGAACTAACTAGCGTCTATTAAAATGAAGCGTCATTTAAAATAATATTTTTTTCATGGCAAGATAAGAAAAAGTGCGAGGGAGATGGATATTATTTCATCTCCCTCGCACTATAGAAAGGGGGTCGTGATGGAAAAATTATCGTACACTTTGTCTCGCCTAGTCCCCATCCATCAAATTCGTACCGTGCGATAAGGAACTTCGTTCCAAAATTTGTAAATATTAACTGTCTTACCAAATCGAGCTGGAGAAACGTTAAAACTCTCTCCACTGTTATTAAATTGCCAAAGAAACGTGACATCTGATGGATCTGCGTGGACTGAACACCTCACGTGTAATGCTTCATCCAAAGCAGCTCCTACGACTTGTGGTGACGTATCGCTGCACACTGGAGCATCTAAAAAGTTTAAGTCACATGTTCACAAAGTACAAGTATGTAAATAATATAAATTAACATTTATTTTTCTGCAAATTTTGAATTGTATTCGAGTCTCTACTTTTAACTTTCAGTAAAAACTATATTAATAAGGTTAAACAAATACTAAACAAAGTATTCCTAGAACAATAAAATGCTTTCCACGAAATCAAATAAACCATGATGTTATATTGAAATATTTTTATGTAATATTGAAATTCGCGAAACGCAATTTGATATCGACTACATTACGAATTTTATTTACTACATTCTTCACAGCAATAAAGTAAAGTAAAGAGTAAAATGTTTTCGTATACAAAAATATTATTCAGTGTAATTCTGGAAAGCCCACATATATATAAAGTTTAAAAAAAAGTCTTGTTTAATGAGACAATAGTCAGGTATAAGTTATTTTAAAAATATAATTATTTACAAGTAAAAATAAGAATGTTGCAATTATTATTTTTAATTTCCCTCCAGAAATTTTTCAAGCTAAATTGAAATGTCAGTTTTCATTGAAAAATGTATCTGCGTCGGGAACATTTTCGCGCGATGATTTTTTTTACGATTTGACATGAATGTCGCCTAAAATCGGATAAATCGTTTGATACACTTCAAATGGCGTTTATGTAAAAAAGGCCATTTGAATATTATAACCAATTTTTAAACGGTTCACAACATTGAAAGATGAAGAAAGGAATGGTCGCCTATTACGGAAGTAATCGTGCTAGTAGTGAAAAATTTAATAGAAAGAAAATAGGTGAATTACATATGAAAAGATTTAGCACATATTGCTTGTAAGGTTGGGAGACCTTTCACGAGACTTAACCTTATCGTTAGAAAGATAGTTTCACGTTCGGTGCCGCAGAACCGTGTACTCAGAAAGAGGTCCGCGTCGAATGGTGCCGTGACAATGTTGGCATATTTACGACATTATTACAGGTGATGCATCTTCAAATTTATAAGAAAACGATCAAGAAATGAAGCGCAAGTGGATGGTTTAGCTGCTTAGAAATAAAAAGTGCCTCAAAAGTAAAGCAATCGTAAAGCGCAGGGAAAAATTTGATCGCTAATATTTTCACTTTGGTGAGATATCTGCTATCAATTCCTTTAGGAAATCGGATGCTTTAATATAGAATGTTTGCCAGAAGTGTATAATGTTGTGAGTAATAAGCGACTGAACAAAGGGCTATACGTGCTACTGCTTCACTAAGACAACCATTCCGCGTATTTGGCGCTTAAAACGAGCTCTTTTAAGGATTTTGTACCAAGTAACTTTTTTCTTAAAATTAAAAAACGGCTAAAATAGATCTAGTTTTGGTAGAGTTGATACAGTTTTCATTGATGGAATATGCGTTAGTAGCGTTCGAGCAGGCCGTAAAAGAGGTCTGAGGCGGACTGAAAAAAGTGTTTTGAAAGTTGGTTGAAACGCATGAAACTATTTACAGACGGTGGAACGGTGGAGAGTTTGTTTGAAAAGATTTAATAATATAATTTTAATCTTAAAACTTTGTTTTAGTTCCGCATATTTTGTTAAGTGGTGATAATCCCAGGTATATACAATAAATCTTGCCGACACTGTTGCAGCGCTTCAAAATTATTATGATTTAAAAAAATCAAGTCACAAATATTATACCTAATAAACTATAAATATTATGGTCATGATAAGATATTGAAACAATTGATTTAAAATAATTTTTCATCAGTTATTATAAAGAAGTATCTATGTCTAATTAAACAAGTTTTTATGATTAAAAGTTAGAAATATAAAGCATTATAGCTTACGTGTTTTTCGTAACATAGCAGTTACAATATTTTGCCAAATGAATCCAAAGGATTTAAAGAGAAATTTATTCCGGTCTACTAACTAAAACAAAGCTCTATGAATTAATGTGTGCCCACAAAACAACAGATTGCGAAGTTTCGTGGTGAGTCGCAGTAATATTAGGTAATAATTTCGATGATTTACTACTGTTGCTGCCTTCCTCAGCGGCAATTACTCGGCGGCCAGTTGGCCGCGGAAGGAAGTGGGTATGTCGATCCCCGCCGCAATCATTTGAATACCTACTCGCAGATATAACGATATTTATTGCGCTGTAACTCATTCTCTACAAACCGTACTGTGACATTTTATTGTTGAAATACATGTCATTGTATCCGACATTTGTCATACAGAAGTGTTTAAATTAAGTTAGAAATAAACATTCAAAATTTTGATTACTGATTACACCTAACGTAATTATCATTTTATGATTAATATTGTTGCAATCATGATGCTTTTTCTAATTCCATATCACATAATATTTACTAGGTGGTTGGACTTTCTTTTTGCATAGAAATCCGTCTGGGTGGTATCACAATTTCATAAAACTAAATTGCATTGCTTGTACTGCTGTGTTCCGATCTGAAAGGTATATATAGAGCAAGTATAATAGAGTATTACTCCCATTTTCAAAAATTGTTTTAAATGAACCCTAGAGTGATAATGAACCACTATAATTTTATATATTTTTTTTTCAAACCGAATAGTGCCATAAAAATTACTTTTAATCTATCGTTTTAAATTTTCACGTGAAAACCGCTAGCCGCCATAATGTTCAACTCGTGACGTCACTGCCCTACAATTTTGCCGATTTTGCAAAGGAATAAGATACTTTTAGTTGTTTAATAATGAGTTATCGTCTATATCATTGTTGTGCTGCGCTTAAATACAAAAATACGAGCATAAGAAGCCGCGGAAGTTATGGATTCAAGTGCCAAATGAATCCGAGAAAAGTACAATCAAGCTGTCATCCGTAAAAAGTAAACTCAATTCTGTTGAAAATAAATACGAGAGTGATCAGTCATACACTCCATCAATATTAGGTTCAACAACTGATTACGAGTCCTCTCCATACAAAAAATATAGTCAATCAAATACTACTTCAGATAGCTCTCAAAGTGGTCTTAAAAACAGAAAAAAATAATTTGCTAAGCACTTTATTTAAGATTAACAATAAACCTCGATTATACATTGGTCTATCGAAGGAACTGTCTTTCCTATTAGATTTAATTGAAAACAACATCAATGTTTCTCAACAAAATATTTTGTATTTTTCAATGAGAATAAAATTGAATAGAACATTTTCACAAAAATCTGACGATTTCGATTTATCAGTAACTCAAGCAAGCAATATATTTTTCAGTAAGATACCATAAATTTTAAAAGTACTTTCCTCCTTTATTAAACAGTTTTCAACCGAACCTATCAAGAGAAATTTACCCACTGCTTTCAGGCAAAAGCCAAAAAAAAAACCATGCACCAGGTCAGAATACAAAAAAACTAACAGCATAAAATATCTTCTAGCATGTACACCTGACGGTCTCGTGAGTTTTGTGTCTGGTGGATATACAGGAAGGATAAGTGATGTAAATTTGGTTGAACATAGCAAGTTTTTAGAGTTTGCCATGCAAAGCTTGCATTCTAGATGACAGAGGGTTTAAGCAACTACTACTACTAATTTACTTTTCTGAGGCCTCCAAGTGTTTCTACTGGTTCTAAACTAAAAAAAAGATGATGTGCGGCAGGCTAAACAAATAGCAAGTCTTCGAATTCATGTAGAGAGGCTAATTCGAATAAATAGAGAGTTTGGAATGTTAAAGATGCATTAAGTGATAAATGTTAATGAAATTGGAACGTCAGTTAAAATCATTATGATAGCTTGTGCTTGAATAAATTTACAAGATGCCCTTATCAAATAAATGGAGAGGCTGCCTTGCACTAGTTAAAGTAGTTATTGTCACATTACAATGTGTAATGTAACAATAACTATTTAATTGTAACTACTACCTGTTTGATCGTGTCTTGATCTAATGACTTTTATTAATATTAGAAATTGAAGATGAAAATTGTAAAAAATTCAAATTCGAAAAAAATACTTTATTTAAAATAATCTACTTTTTATTTGGCAGTTTATTTTGTCTTTGGTATTAAAAATATTTTCATAGTTTGTAGTTTTGTACATAGTTAAGTTTCAGGATGGGTGCTGAAGCTTTTTAAAACACCTAAATATGTCTCAATGTCATTTAATAACTATTTCGTTACAATAATGGATTAAAAGTAATTCAGTACAATACTGACTTCCTTAACTAGGTTATTACAATACTACGATAAGGACTATAATGAATATAATTCTAAATGCAAGGGCTTTTATAGAATGGTGGAAACAAGTCTATTTACTGAAAGTATGATACCTTGTTTTGACCAGCAATAACAATTATAGAGTAGAGTCAGCATCTTATGTAACATTACATTTTATAACATGTTTTGAGAATTCTAATATAAAAAGCATAGTCAGGACAATTTGGAATCAACAGGTTGTTATAATATTACGGCTACTTCCAGACTTTATAATTAACTTATAATAGCATGTTTAACATATAATAGCAAATATTATAACAACAAATAAAGTCAGACCCACATTTTTTTCTAAGAATTCTAAAAAGGTTTTGAAGTTACTGGTCTAAAAGAAATAAAATGAAACTTTTCTCAAATTTTTCAAAACACATTTATCTTGATATTGCTAGTTATTTTTTATAGGAGAGGAGGCAAACGAGCATAAGACTCACCTGATGGTAAGTGATTACCGCCGCCCATGAACAACTGCAACATCAGGGAAATTGCACATGCGATGCCTTATAAAAAGAAGTAGGCTCTTTTCGTAGTCGTATCGGTCCAGAGAAATCTCTGGTGGCATTAGATTCCACAAGTAAGTTGTGCGAGGAAGAAAACTTCTTTTAAATCGCACAGTGGTGGTCGGTCCACCACTGTGCGATTTAAAAGAAGTCATCTAGATAGTATGGATGGTATCGCGAGTTTTGTCGCGATGTGCGATGGTGAAATTTTCCAGCTGGAATTAGTCCGAACAATTCCTCCGAACACTCACCGTGGTAAATGCAATAAAATACGCAAAGAGTTGCAACACCTCTTTGCGTAATTTATCGCAATATCAGTGGTGAGTGCATCGCAGTATCAGGATGCAGTGTCAGTGACTCTAGCGATCGGAAAGAGTTCGGTCGACGACGATTCGAATAGCTCTGCGCTGGATGCGATCAAATGGAAGGAGCTGGTACTGGGAAGCCCTAGCCCAGAGATGGGAACAATATTCCGTATGCGGCCGAACCTGCGCCTTGTAAAGTTGCAGGTGATGTGCTGGCATGAAATATTGTCCCGCTCTGCTGAGCACGCCAAGCTTTTTAGAGGCCAATTCGGCCTTCTCTTTCAAGTGACCACGAAACTGCACGTCACTCGATATGTCCGATTCCGATACGGTATACTGATACTGATGGCGATAGCACGCAACCTTGTGGAACACCACCGATAATGGGCTTGTAATCGGAGCATGCACCGTCGACTACGATCTTGACGCTCCGATCTGCAAAAAAACTGGTGATCCAATTGCACAATTTCTCGGGAAGTCCATGGGATAGCTTCGTAAGAAGCGCTTTGTGCAAAACCCGATCGATGGCGTTCGCTATGTCCAAACCAACGGCCAACGCATCCCCTTTAGACTCTACTGCCTCCACCAATTTATGAACTAGGTAAATGAGAAGATTACCAGCTAAGCTATTGCGACGGAAACAATACTGACGGTCACTTAACAGCTGGTGATCCTTAAGGTACCGCATGAGCTGGCTGTTAATAATGGACACCATTATTTTAGAGAATAAGGAGGTGATGCCGATAGGCCTATAGTTGGACGGATCAGAGCGTTTACGTTTTTTAGGGATCGGGTGCACGAAAGCTGTTTTCCATGATTTCGGTACTACGCATAGGGAGTAGAAGTACCGGAAAGGACTAATTTTAATTTAAGGGGGGGGGGGGGGATTGGGCCTCCAGGCACCTGCACTCACCAGACGAAATGTAGAAGTAGAGCTTCTACTACATCTTCTCTGAGGTCGTGGTTCCACCCCGGTTCGAGCCATCCCATATTTGCAACAGCAAAGGCTGTCGCGTGATTCTACCACTGTAAAAAAATTTTCAAAATAAAATTTCAGAATAACTGCTACATTGTTATAAAATTAATATTTTGGTGAAACAATTAAGTATAAAATTAAAGTTATGAATTAAAAATTAATAATTATGACATAGTTATGGAAACACACGCACACATATTAAATGTGTATTGTGAGCCTGCTTTAGTGTTATAAAAAATTAAAAATTATGACCTAGTTATGGAAATACACGCACACATATTAAATATGTATTGAGCCTACTTTAATGTTATATAAAATTAAAATTATGACATATTTATAGCAACACACGCACACATTTAAATTAAATGTGTATTGAGCCTTCTTTTATGTTATATTAGGTATTAAATCTTTAACACTTTTGTGTAAGACGGGAAAAATGTTATTCTTCCAAAGAGGCACTACACTATCTAGTAACTTCACAACATATTCATGATCATAATTAATGTTTATTATAGATAGTGACCTCATTAGTTTTTTCGAAATCACTACTAGTAACACAAAAGTAGCTTTTGTTTTCTTTAGCACAAAACATTTGTAATTGAACTTGTGCAAATTTTTGCTTTGTTATCGAACCTTCTGAATCTATATAATTTAGTACAGTCCTTTCAGTAGATGGACACTTAATTTCAAAAGTAGTGTTGTTATTAATCCCATTTGGTGAACCAGCAATCATTGGAAATGCCTCAGAAGACCACATTTTCAATCTTAATTCCTATTTTCTTTTCCACTGTTTATCTCACTTTATCCTCCAGTTTTTTACGACTTGATATGGAGTATACCAGAGTACCATCTACAGTTTTCGAGGTTGTGATTCTACCATACCTGAGGCTACTTTTATGTTGGCTTCTATTTTCATTTTCCATGAGTGATATGTTGTTTTGATTACAAATATGAAAAATCTTTTTTAAAAAAGTGTCACAGTTTTCACCATTATATTTAATCATTAGGCGATGTAATGATAAAGTTGACTCTGTGTCAAAATCGAGTTGAGGCTTGAAAAGCTGGCATGTGGTCATTTTTCTTTTTTTGCATTGTAAAACAAACTCATTCAGTACACTGTTGTCTGGAATTATAGTGTGAGATTTTCTTTTGGATATTTCTTCGGCCATTAAAATTCTTATTGATGACGCAACCCTTGCCAGATTAGATTTTCTCCAGTAGCATTCAACCGAAAATCCATCTACTGTTCGGCGGTGCAACCACATCAAAAATGCAACACCGTGCTTGCAGCCACCTTCTGACACGGGGCAATCGTGGCACTGGACACTAATCACAATCTATTCCTTCATTGACAATAATTGTAACTGCATATGACTTAGAACGCATTTTGTGTTCTGGGCATATTATACACTTAACTATGCATATGTTTTTTAGCCTCTTGAGCTGCATATAGCCTATTGCCTCATCCCCGTAAAATTTCCTTTCGGACCTGAAAACAAGAATTAGGTTATGTGAGATCATAGATAAGCATAACAATGTATTATTAAAATACACTCTAACCTGTTATTGTATAAATAATTGTTGGTAATAGGTACTTACATTGATGTTTTAACATTCCTCAACTCGGCAGAACAAAAATCTGGATTACATGCAAAAAATTTGCCACCATCAATGTATTTATCCTTGGTAGATTAATACTTTCTGATTTTACGTACCCGTCTTCCATGATGATCACGATCCTTTTAAATAAAATTCGGAATAAAACTCAACAATCGTAATGATAACTTGAAAAATTTCGAAATTAGCTAGTTAGTACACAGTACATTAGCTAGTTCTCTTAACTAGTGACGTCACAACGCTATCTAATATGGCGGACAGCATTTTGCAGATTTGAGGCACAGAAAAAATATTCTTAACATTGAAATATAAATCTTATAATGCATTTTTATAACTAGAAATGAAGAGGCCTATGTTCAGCAGGTAATTTAATAGGTTGTAATGAATGAATGAATGAGGATCACTGCTTGTAACCACGATTGTACACGATCTGTGAAATGTTGCTGAGGTGTTTCAATACAATTTGGGACAGGCATCATTGTGTGCGGTCCGCAATTGAAAACCAACGCCAAGTGATGCTTGAGGTTCTTTTTAGTACTTAATAATAGAATTTGTAACTATTTTATATCGTAGCGGCATGAGAAACGAAGATAATTGCGTACATTGAACTCTTAACGTGACAATTTCGCTCGATGTTTCTCCTCTTATATTGGCAGCCTTGCATGAATATTTTCCCGCATCTCGCCTTGTCACTTTTTGCAGTACAAGTGACCGAGTACTTAAAATTATACCGGATGTCATGTTCTGTGTAACAGGCATATCCTGAAAATGAACACTAGAATTATTGATGACAAATATTTATTTTAAAATACAACAAGAAATCAGAGCTCAACTGTCTTGTCAGATATCTGAAATATAAAAAATCATTGATTATTTTAATTTTATTATTGAATAGCAGAGTCGGGAAGGGACATCCTAGACAAAAGTTTATCATAATTAATAGAATCAGGCGTTACTTCGCGGAATTCCATTATATTAAAGTTGACAAAAAATTACATTGTACATCCGCTCGATAAAATAAAATGATGTGTCTTACCTAGTTTGAAGAGCACCTCCCGCCCTCCCTCAATTGCGTGCACTATCCCCGTCACAACTAGTCCCAGCACCACTACTCCCAACACCACTACACTAGGAAAGAGACACTACTGATGACAATACGACACGTGTTTCGCCTCTACACGAGGCGTCCTCAGGTGATATAGACTCTACGGTGGCTAACTGCTAAGTCAAAGCTGTTAGTATATTATAGGATAGTGCACGCAATTGAGGAAGGGCGGAAGGTGCTCTTCAAACTAGGTAAGACACATCATTTTATTTTATCGAGCGGATGTACGCAAAGTAATTTTGTGTCAACTTTAACAAAAGTTTATCGACCAAATTGACGATATATTGAATGAGGGCCAGATTTAGACCCTTAACCGACGAGCATGTACGCTTAGATATATGAAAGTAAACGAGGCGAGAGAGATGTATCAAAGTCTTGCCAAATGGTAGTCCGTAACCTCTACCTACCCTCTGGGTGACAGGCGTGAGTGTTTATGTTGTATTTTAACTTTGTTCTTCATTTTACTAGAAAAAACCGTGTTCGTTGTTCATGTGAACATTAGATTTTATTGGGAATCTATCAACTTCGCTTTTGTTTTATAGCTTGGAAACAACCATTGATCAATCATATACAGAGCAGTCGGTGACATTTACGTCTGGGACCGAAATTTAATTTCAACGTTCATTTTGTACACTTGTTGTGTATACTTGCACGTTTACTTTAAAACATATATATAATTCAGTTTTTATTTATAAAACATATGTTTAAATCACTTAATATTTTCTATAAAAAATATATATTGTTTTATTGTTTTATTAAAGTACAAATATAACAAAATCCCTAGGTATATGGGTAAGTCAAAAACTTAATAGGAAATTTCAAGTTGAAAATGTTTGTAAAAAAATAAATAGATTTTCGTACGCACTTTACAAAGTACGCAAAGTAGCCACAAAATATACGGCACATACTGCGTACTTTGCCTATGTGGAATCCGTTTTGCGATACGGACTCATTATATGGGGTAATAGCACAGATGCAAAAAAGGCATTCATTGCCCAAAAAAAATGTATTAGAGCAATATGTGGCACTGCACCCGATGAACCTTGCAGGCCGTTATTTATATCTCTGATAATACTACCCCTCCCATGCCTGTACATTTTTGAAATTGCAAAGTTCGTAAAACAAAACATGTATTATTTCAGACAAGCGAAAGAGATTTACACACGAAAGACTTCTGGTCTTGGCAATAGACTTGTTGCTGAAATTATACCCAAGAGTGCTCGATTTAAAAAAAAAACTGCTACTGGATGTGTATTCTTATATTAAATAAAATACCCCAAAATATAAAAGACTTACCCCTTAATAGATTTAAAGGCGCTTTTTACAGGTGGCTAAATTAACATTGTTTTTATAATGTAAATGACTACCTAAATTTGACATGATGTGACACAACAGTAGTTATATATTTTTAATTAAATTTGAATCTTAATTATATTTAAATTTTGTATGTATTGGTATTGCTCATTTGTAAACAATGACATGACGATAAATATTTTAATTGAATTTTATATTGTAATATGATAAATTTAATTATAAAAAATGTATTTGCATGCTATTATAGATGGCTGAAAAAGCTGAACTACACTATATAATAACCACCTAAATGTACCCCTTCTTCAAAGCAAATAAATCTTCATTTCATTTCGTTTCATAAAAATGAAAATTATTGCAATGATTCAAGAACATAAAAAATATAGTTACGGTAATTTAAGTACATACTAATTTTTACAGTGCGCTCATATTTTACACTATCAAAATTTAAGTTAGTTTCAATCGATTTAGTTTAAATGATTGTTATATTTCATTGATTTTGTTTGGAAGAGGTCGGTCTAGCAAAAAACTTCTTAGATACCGGTACTAAAAATTATCCCTCATTGAACTTAAAGCATAAGAAAACTTACATTATGATACCAGGATATACGATGTTCTCTGGGGTTTGATTTCACGTTGCATTCAAAATATACGTCGTCGCCTTCTTTAATATCATGTGGGTTCAGTGTACTACCTAAAGTCAACGTTACTAGCGGACTGTCTGAAAAAGAAGACAAGTTAGTTATTTAATTCAGAACTCATATTTGATCGAAATATTAAAGGTAAACATAATATTAAATACAATCTAACCAAATGAAAAATTAGAAGTGATTATAATTGTTCAATTGTTTACATTTATATTCGGTCAGGTTTATTTAATGTATAATTTACTTGATGGATAACATTAATCTGGCGATGGAAAAATCAGCCTTTATAATATTGACTGCTTCAATAACCTTTTTAAATTGAATTACAAATAGCTTTTTCAGAACTCGCCTGCTGGGGTGCATTACTTGGAAGATTTGCCCAAAAACTAGACTAGGCAGATATTGAGAACAGGCTATGTTGGTTACACGAGTAATACCATTTAATTTTTAAGAGTCCTAGGATAACCGTGCATTAATTCTTCCAATTCCAATTATCAGTCTCTTTTATTTAGGTGTAGCTATTTACATATTTCATTCTTTACTTTATTTTCTTTATTTGACTGTAAAATTCTCTGACGTAGTAGGGAGGATTTGACTTAATGTATCTTAAATGCATCGCTTGACAGGTAGATTTATGATCACAATGTACGTGGTAGAAACATGCTGCAGCTATATTAGTAGCACTAATGGATCGGCTCGACCGGGGAAGGACCACGCTCTCACAGAAAACCAGCGAAAAATAGCAGCTTAACGCTGCTCTATTTCGTATGGTGAGTGTAGAGAACCGGAGACCTTTTTTACTGGCAAAGAGGCGTTACATCTTAGTCCTCACGGGTGACAACGCATCTGCATCTTGAGTCTTTATTGAGGATAGATGTAGATGTCTATGGGTCACAGTTACCACTTACCATCAGGTGGACTGTGTGCTCGTTTGTCACCCTATCCTATAAAAGAAAAACAATGCCAGACATTATGAATTTTTGACTGTGATGTCTGTTGCTCTGAATATTTTCAATCTGATGTACACAAAATTGTTATACTGCTATCCATCGGAAGCCATTATTTTTATAACATTTCTCAAAGTCAGCATTTACGACACTCACGGTACGAGTTGGGGCTATAGATTTCCTCATACTGAGACCACAAGGTAAAGTTCGTAGACAGGTTTTTAGCTGATAGTTGGTATCTAGAGCCTCGCCACTCTATAATTAGTATAATATGTCACTTTCAGGCGAGGTCAACGTGTGAAGAAAAATTGACATAATATTACTCTTAATAAAAATATGTGGATTTATTAAATTTAATATTCTCTTACAAATATTTACATACTAATAAATAAATTTATTGCAATTACATGAGCAATTATAAATCCACATACTCACATACACTCACATAATTAAATAAGCAATTATAAAATCCAAATACTCACATACAACGTTGAGTTGAAACTGATCGTCAATTGCTTTTCCCGTTAGGGCTGGATTAACTGCTACACACTTAATTATTGCTCCATTATCCATTGGTATAGATTTAAATATCAAAGTACTCATCGACCATGTCTCGTTGAAATGTTCACTTACCTATTAAAACATTATATTTAGTAAATTATAGTAATACTCATAACGGATAATATAATATAGTTATTTAAAAGGTCGAAATATAAAATCTACCGCTCAAAAATAATATTGATGAACTATATCTTACACATACATTAATTATATGCATATAATAAATTTGTATCATTCCTTGGGGGAGGCATATGTTCACCAGTGGCCTCGTAAAGGGCTGTGATGATGTACCTATTGATATGACCTATTTGATACGAATCTTGTTTGGCTAAATGTCCGCTTACCGTTAGGTAGACTGTAGGTTCGTTTGTCACTTTTATTTTTGTGAGGCTGTATTTTACCTGTCGTTTTAGACAACGACGATATATTACAGTTATTTTTTTATTTTAATAATAGGTTCTTGAAAAAGTTTCTTCGTATTTTATATACAAACTAGTTGTTCCCCGCGACTTCGCCGGCGTGTAGTTTAGGGTTTTAATTATGTTGCGCGGAACCCTAATTCTTTTTCTAAAATATAAGTAGCCTAAGTTACTCCCTATAACATCAGCCATCGTCAGTGAAAGTCCCTTCGAAATCGGTCCAGCCGTTTCGGAGATTAGCCAGAACAAACAAGACAGACAGACAGATAGACAGACAGACAGACAAAAATTTTGTAAATTGTGCTCTTGTTACAAGTACCGTATATCTTTCATATACATTTAGTAAAAAGCTGTTATTTTGACATTACAAACAGACACTTCAATTTTATTTATTTGTATAGATATATACAAAAAAATGTCTTCATTTTTTTTCATTGTTTAATTACATTTAATTATTATATATCTGTGCCATTTTGTTTGATAACTTGTTACCATCTTGTAGGTAGTGACATAATCCCGTTGCTGGAGAAATTTTGGACAGTCGTCTCTTGATGTTAACTTAACACTTTTCAAAGAATTCTGAAGACACCGAAACAAGTAAAAATCTGGGGGTGCAAGGTCAGGACTATATAGTGGATGCTTTAAGACTTTCCAACCAAGTTCTCTCAATTTTTACTGAGTGGCCAAAGATATGTGTGGTCTGGCGTTATCATGATGAAAGGCCACTCCTTTCCTGTTAATCAATTCCGGCCGTGTTTTCTCAATTTCTTGCTTGGGTCTCATTAGTAATTGGCAGTAGAGATCTCAATCGATGGTTTTCCCCGGCGGTAAAAGCTCATAATTAACTGAAATAAAGCTGTGTCTAAAATATAAGTGTAGTACTAGTACTGCAAACGCTATTCTTCAAACGATGCGATTATGAGAGTGGTGAACCAGATCTCAGCCAATCACGATGTTACTATTATCATCACGGCCAGAAACCATGATAAAAACTAATTCAAAAGTAAAATTTTAGAGAATTTTGAAGATATGTGAATATTTACCTTGTCCTTTCCAAAACCCCTGTTGTCTTTATACCAACTTATTTGTGCTGGCGGTCTACTGCCCTTAGCGACACAACGTAATGTAGTGACAGAACTTGCAAGTAATTGTTGTGGACGATCCAATAGTGTAACAGAAATAGGTAACACTGTATATTAAAAAAAATATAATAAGGATAAAACGTTACAGTACATTATAAAAATTATTTACAAAAACATATAAAAATTAAGGTCGATTAAAGAAAAAAAAATTGGATATTTATTCCTACGTACTATCCTCATAGTAATATGTAGTAAAAAACACCCAAAAAGCAAAAATTGTAGCCTATATCTTCGGAACACATAATTTAAAATTTATTATTTAAAAGTACATTTTATTGTAATGTAAATCAAAATTTATTTGTTTATTCACACTCAGATTATACAATACGTTATTAATACACAGTATAATTTTTCCTTGTTAATTACCTACTTATTATTATTATAATAAGAGAAAGTATGCATAATTATATAACTAAGAAAGTTCAAAGCCACATACAATTCATTTCCAGACGAACGGTTTTTTCCTGTGGTGGCACGAGAAGTGTATTGGATGCTCGGCACTTAAAAGTAGTATTAAGGTCCTCTCTTCCAATTTCTTGTATTTCTAACCGATTAACAACAACATGCGTATCAGTTTTTACCCCTATGTTTTTAGGTACTACAGTTCCATTAACTAGCCATGACACAATAGGCTCGGGGCGACCTGTAAAATACTTACACTGTAATATGCTTCACAAAACAGGAACTAAAAAGAATGTGTATCCATATAGTTTTCTTAATATATTTTTTATAGGAGACGGGGCAAACGAGCATGCGGCTCACCTGATGGTAATAGACTACCGCCCATGAACAACTGCAACACCAGGGGAATTGCAGATGCGTTGCCGGCCTTTTAAAAAGGAGTAGGCTCTTTTCTTGAAGGTCCCTAAGTCGTATCGGTCCGGAAAAATCGCTGAATGTCATGATTGCGTCGTCAAACGTGCAAAACATCTGCCACGGGGATTGCGATTGGCATACCAATCGTTGCAATTACGGTAAACCCTTCCTTATATGAATTGTTCAATAGGGGATAGTGATGAACATGAAGAAAACGTTAGATTTTTAACGGATGCTTTATCTTACAGGTGCCGTGGGGTGGTGTCGTTAGAAAATAATCTAACTTTGTCCCGAGAATGTAGTAAAAGTCAACTATAGTAGAAGCCAGAATAACCTCAGAGCCTCTAATAGATTACGGCAACACCTATCAATAAACTATACAGATCAATGTCACGCGAACTGCAGCTTTAAAAGTACAAAGTATGTCGTACTGCAATCGATAACTGTATAGTAATATTTCTAAAATGTTTAGACTCCGACAACGAACGTTGCTACACATGTAGGCTATTTGGCAATCCTATAAAAACAAGTTACAACCGAACTAGCTTCAATAGCTTATGTAATATCAAAAATATTGTAAACATAAATTACTGAATAGGTAGTTTCCAAACCAAATTGATCTTGAACTCAGGTTCCAGTAGTTCAGGCTATCAGTAGCATGTTTAAAGAAGTTATTGATCGGACAGCACGTTGCATCATCACAACTTTGGGCGCACAGGCAAAGATAATCTGTGCGGTGCACCTACTGGCACACTGCCAACCAGTTTATACTGCGGAATTTTCAATAAACTTATTCGAATGGAATATATCTTCCAATGTTACTACAAAAGAAATAAAGTGATAAAAACTTATGTTTAAATGATAAATATTCCTCACTTTCGCATTTGGTCAAATTATTCTCATGTATACTAAAGCGAGGAACTTCAAGATATGTAAAATAGTTTTGGAGTCAAAAATAAGGTAACAGTCCATTTAATAGTAATCGCTCTTACAGCCCAAAGACACCATATTTCCGTTTTAATTGTATTTTAAATATAATTTTGTGTATTTCTTTTGGTATACAGATTTATTTTATATATATCATAACAATTTGTGTCCTTACTTTTTAATAACATTAATTTATGATTCGCTCTTAATTTATTCGTTACATTAAGTATAAAAAATATACTAAAAATACTTAAGATTTAATAAAAGACTTAAACTTACCACCACGTACTTCGCAAACTAGTACTAAAGCAGCTCCTTCTTCCAGCGGCCCCACTACACCCGAGACATCTGCACCAGATTTGTCATATAAAAGCATTTGATGAGGCGGCACTAAAAATTTAATATTTTTTTTAATTCAAAATTGCCATATTTTACTTACTTATCTGAAGACTATGTAAAGAAATTATAATAAGTAAAGATTAAAACACTAATACTTAAAAAGTTTAATTTTTCATAATTATCAATTCAAGATATAAATAATTAAAACAATTATGTCATTAGTAAAGCGAATAAAATTAAACATTATTCCTTTTCGATTCATTGAACATATAAATATATCATCACAAATATAGTGATTAAATATAATTTTGGTAATATTTGAAATTTATGTAAATAAAGCCAGTTTTTAAACATTATTATGAATGCTTCTGAAGTGCTCTTTGTGCGGTAGAAAAGCCTTTGATAACAAAAGATTTCTTGCAAATTACCTCCCGGCTCGAGGAGCCTAATGGATTTCAATTGAGTTGCATATATGTTATGTAGGCTTACACTTAAATGCTTTGTTCTGCGTAAAAGAAATTTGCTTTCCCCCATCTCTTTTGGTCGCGTCTTTCATCGCCTTCGATCTAGTAATTTCTTTGGAAAATGTATGGCGGTTTTCTTATCGCATTTAATCACGTTGAGTAAAATGTAATTAGTATGTTATTAATTATTGTAAATTATGTACGTACACTTCGCCCGTTTTGTGTTTTATTTTCAATATTTCTATTAATATAAACTAATTTTACGGATTTTGCTTCCCGATATTTCAGACGTTATGGTCACGGGGGGAGGTGTTTGACGTCCTAATGCAAGCATACTACCGCAAAGCGTGAAGATACTGTAGCTCGTTCTTCGTAGATCAGACCATAAAACGGAAGATTAATATTTAAAACTTGAAAGTAGCCCTCGTTAACTATGTATATAACGTTATGTTATATATATAACGTAGACAAAGCTTAAAATTAATGGCGATAAAATCCGTAAAATTACTTTCATTGAATGTACAGTATTCGCGTAAATATTAGAAATTGTTATGTTGAATCCTTCTAATTAAAAAAAATAAAAAATTAATGTAAAAAGCTTTTTAAAGGCAGATAAATATTGTAAATGAAAATGTCAAAAGTTTCATATATTTAAAATTATCGCGTCTCGTGCAGAAATCATTTGCGTTTTTATCAAAACTGGTTGAGCAATCTCGGAATCCCAAGTCGACAGTCCATAATTAAAATGTCTACGAGATGTCATTACCCGCCGACCGCGATGTTGCCCAGATTCATTCATAATGAATTGATTTGCAGATATTGCCGCCTTTAGAAATACTTATTAGAAGTAAAATATCTTGTTAAAATGAATCTATTATTACAGTTAGGTTAGTACAGTTTAGGTTAAGATTAGAATTTGATATACATATATATTTTTAAAATGATTTCGTCGTTGCTAGTGATAAGACAGCTGATTCTTTTCTCGCTCAAAGGCTAAGTAGGTATTCAGCGAGAAAGCGCAGCCAGCGTTCTTGGCACGATACCGCGGGGAGTAGGCCTGTATGATAATTCAAGTTTTTTTTAGTTTCGTATATAGCTGTTAATATTGTGTAAAAATTTAATTTTTATTATATATTTTTAAATAAGACTTTAAAAAAAATAGTCGATTAAAGCCATACACGTATAAAAAGATAACTCTAAAACTCGAATTACCTACTTCCTTTCCCAATAATAAAAACGCAAATTTTCATAATATCATTATAAACTCACTTACCAATAACAATAAGACGAATTTGAAAATTTCTAGTTGGAGAATTCTTAAAATCAACGCGGCATCTATAAACACCTTCATCATCCAATTGCACGGAGCTAAGTGTTAAGGAAGCCGGTCGGGCTATAGTTGCAAAATAAGCCCTCGGACCAAATGCACCTGGATCAGACCACTGCAATGCTTTACTAAATGATCTGCCTCGTACGTCAAAGCTGTAACAAACGACATATTCACTGTATGCCATCGAATAAATTATATTTTGTACTTTTCCATAAAAAATAAGTATATATACATTGTTAAATATAGGTAAATAAAATATTTTTTTTCATGTAATTAACAGTTTTTATGCCAAGAAATGCAAGACGATGTTAATACTTGGTTTATTAAAGTTACAGCCTATATGAGTCCCACGCTTAGGCACAGGCCTCCTTTAATTTCTGAGAAGTTTTATGGGCAAGGAACACAAGCAGCACACAAGTCTTATGAATATAAATATACCAGCCTATATAGAACTTAAAGTTCTTTTAGAAGCGTATAAGAGTGTCGAAAAGAAGTTGTATCATTTAATCGTATATTTATGTAGGTATATTTATGTGCAGTGGCGGTTAACAATATCCACTACCCCATATATTCCCATGGGTGTCGTAAAAGGCGACAAAGGGAAACAGGCAGGAGATGGGCAGCAGCATCTTCCTGATAACAGCAAAATTAGAATAAAAAAACTGCGGTTGCCAACCCGCTCGCCAAGCGTGGCAACTATGGCAAATACCCCCCAATGATTAAAGCAACAAACAGACGGCCCCCAGTCCCCGGCGGCCCCGCTATTCCTGGCTACTGGCGATTATGGTAACGGCGGAGCAGGGGGTGCTAAGAATCTCTGGTGGAGGTTCAGTTGCCACCTAAGACGACTCGACCTGGCAACATACAACGCACGCACCCTGTGGACTGACGAGAAGATCGTGGAGCTGGAAGAAGAGATAGAAAAGTTACGCTGACATATTATAAGATTATCCGAAGTCCGAAGAGAGGGGGAGGACACGGTAATCCTCGAATCCGGTAACTTGCTCTATCACCGGGAGGGCGACCATCTGTCCCAAGGAGGTGTCGGATTTATCGTCCACAGGTCTCTCGTTAACAACGTTTTAAAGATTGAGAGTGTGTCGACGAGGGTTGCGTACCTTATACTCAGAATCACGAAACGGTATTCGCTGAAGGTCATACAGGCTTACGCACCAACCTCGGCACACCCCGATGAGGAGGTGGAGGAAATGTATGAGGATATCTCTAGAGCCATGCATTCCTCCAAAACCCAATATACGGTGTTAATGGGAGACTTCAATGCAAAACTAGGCACAAGAGAAAACGGTGAGCCGAAAGTAGGGAAATTTGGAATAGGCCAACGGAACCCAAGGGGCCAGCAGCTGGCCGACTTCATGGAGAAAGAGGGACTCTTTATGATGAACTCTTTCTTCCAGAAGCGGCCCCACAGGAAGTGGACCTGGTCGAGCCCCGACGGTTCGACAAAAAATGAGATTGACTTCATTATGACGACCAGACGACAACTGTTCAGTGATGTCTCCGTGATCGCGAGGGTGAAAACTGGTAGCGATCACCGAATGGTTAGAGTCACACTGAACCTAAACTTTAAATTGGAAAGGTCTCGTCTAATGAAGTCAACGCTCCGTCCCCCTCGTATTCTGTTCCAAAGTCCCGAAAGCTTTCAGCTCGAGTTACAAAACCGTTTTCAGTGCCTAGAAGACTGCAATGAAGTGGACGATATGAATGACAAGCTCGTGGAAACTGTCCATGCGGTCGGAGCTAAGTTCTGCAAGACCCGCCACAGAAGAACACAAAAACTCTCCGATCACACTCTCAATCTCATGGCTGTTAGACGGGAGATAAAGCTACATTTTTCAACAGATTTGACAGCATACAGGCAACTGAACAGACATATCTCCAAATTCATGCGGCGGGACTTACGCAACTTGAATACAGCTCGTATTGAAGAAGCGATCGAGCGGAACCAAGGCTCCAAAGTCTTTGCCATATATCTGTCTGCCAGAAACAGCCAACATTCAAAGCTGAAGACCGAGTGTGGCAGCATCGTTTCCGGGGCACCTGAGATTTTGAGTGAGTTTGAGAGGTTCTATGGGCAGCTGTTCACGTCATCGTTGGAGCCACACGCAAGTGTGAGTATCGATCCAAGTGCGAGTCTTATCCGACACTATTCCGAAGATATCCCGGACGTCAGTCTGAGCGAAATTAGAATGGCTCTCCAGCACCTTAAAAACGGCACGGCCCCAGGCGAGGATGGAATTACAGCGGAGCGTCTGAAAGCGGGTGGAAGACCGGTACTTGAAGTCCGTCAGAAGCTCTTTAATTCTGTCCTCCATGGTGGCATTACACCGGAGGCGTGGAGCAGAAGTGCGGTGGTCTTGTTCTTCAAGAAAGGTGACAAAGCTCTCTTGAAGAACTACAGACCGATTTCCCTTCTGAGCCGCGTGTACGTGCTGTTTTCCAGAGTCATTACGACTCGTCTCGCGCGCAGACTTGACGACTTGCAGCCACCCGAACAAGCCGGTTTTCGAAAGGGCTTAAACACCATAGACCACATACATACCCTTCGGCAAACTATACAGAAGTCCGAACTGGACTGGACTATAAGAAAGCCTTTGATTCCGTCGAAATTTGGGCAGTACTGCAGTCCCTTCAGCGGTGCCAAGTTAACTGTCGGTATATCGAAGTGCTGAAGTGCTTGTACAGTAGGGCTACGATAGCTATCCGAGTACAGAACCAGAGTACGAAACCTATCCAACTGCGGAGAGTTGTATGACAGGGTGATGTGTTATCCTCGAAACTCTTCACCGCTGCATTGGAAGACGTTTTCAAGTTTCTGGACTGGAAAGGATACGGTATCAACATCAATGGCGAATACATCATTCACCTTCGATTTGCCGACGATATAGTCCTTATGGCAGAATCGCTGGAGGACCTAAGCACCATGCTCAATAACTTCAATAGTGTCTCCCAACGAATAGGTCTTAGGATGAACATGGACAAAAGAAAGATCATGTTTAATGTCCATGACCACACCTATGCCGGTAGTTGTTGGGAGCACTAAGCTCGAAGTTGTTGACGAGTATGTTTACCTGGGACAAATAGTCCGACTAGGTAAGTCCAACTTCCACCGAGATGTGAATCGACGGATTCAACTCGGCTGGGCAGCTTTCGGGAAACTACGACACATCTTCTCGTCAGACATACCTCAAAACCTTAAAACAAAATTATACAACCAGTGCGTGTTGCCAGTGATGACTTACGGATCTGAGACGTGGTCCTTCACTGCTGACCGTATGAGGAAGCTCTAGGTCGCTCAGCGCGCTATGGAGAGGGCTACGCTCGGGGTTTCTCTGCGTGATAAACTTAGAAATGAGTAAATCCGCAGTAGAACCAGAGTAACCGACATAGCTCAACGGATTAGTAAGCTAAAGTGGCAGTGGCCCGGCCATATAGCTCGAAGACCGACAACCGATGGGGAAGAGAGGTTCTCGAGTGGCAGACTCGTACCGGTAGGTGAAGTGTAGGGCGACCCCCCACGCGATGGAGTGACGACCTGGTAAGACATGCAGGAAGTCGATGGATGCAGGTGGCTCAGGACCGTGCTTTGTGGCATTCCTTGCGGGAGGCCCATGTTCAGCAGTGGACTTATGAAAGGCTGTAATGATGATAATGATGATGTATGTGTATGTATATATGTGTGTACATATGTAAAACTAACATATTTATATTACTTAATGCATTTTTGAATGATATTTGTAAATAAGTTAGTTTTTTCCCTCTGTTGCGGCTCTACCCATAGCTCTCACCACACTACCGAAGGTTAGCTGGCAGAGAATGCCTATTCGGCATTAAGTTCGCCTTTGTACCAATTTTTTTTTGTTTGAGTGCAATATTCAATAAAGTTTATAAATATATTCTATTCATCGAAAATAAAGTTCTTTTTATTTTATATTCATTTGTAATTCCGTTGAAAGCCCAATTTAGAACGCTTATCTTTATAAGTTACTTATAAGACAATATATAATATGTAGTATAAAAGTTTCCCTGTACATCAAATAATAGCTGTAATATAGTTGCAATATAGCCTCTTTTATGCTTGTATATTTACTGTACAGCGCTGCCTCTAGTATGAAAACGAACTTCTATACCGCTCGTATATAGCTTGCATGTTGCTTGGGAAGTACATATATATACTATATACTCGTATATCCACAAAACTGTCTTAATGCGTGTTGGCAGCCTTTACATCTCTTCGAAGTATTTATTTTTTATTTTTTAGACATTAAAGTTTCGTCACGATATTTGACTTCACCGCTGTTTAACAATTTCATTGGTGCCGACTGAGATCGTACCCAGGCTACTCTCTTACCGTGAGATTTACAGCGAATGCTTAGGCCCTGAGCTACCCCGGCCTATTATTTCGGTTTATAACTTAATACCATTTATTAATTTGAGAATTTGCCAAGTGTAGTTGGCGTAAGTAAATACATCGCCCTACTTGGTACCGTGGTTATCGTAAAGTAGCAGCGCTTAAAATGTGTGCGTTGTCTGGTACTGTAATTGCCAATCCACCTGCCAAGCGTAGTAATAAAATCTAATTTTCCTTATACGTGGTAGAGCAATGCTGCAGTTATATTAGTTGTATAGTTGTAGCACGAATGGGTCGGCTCGACCGGAGAAGGACCACGCTTTCACAGAATACCAGCGTAAAATAGCAGCTTAACGCTGCTGTGTTTCGTATGGTGAATGTAAAGAACCGAAGACTCTTTTTACTGGAAACGAGGCATTCAATATTATTTATTTGATTTGTAATAGAGGATAGATGTAAATGTCTATGGGCCGCAGCAACCACTTACCATCAGGTGACTGTATGTTCGTTTGTCACCCTTATCCTATAAAAAAAACAAAAGAGCCCTATGGTATGGTATTTTGGTGAGAGCTATGGGTAGGGCCTAGTAAAGTTTAAAATTCTGATGAAGAAAAATTTATATATATTTTATCAAAGATTCCATTACTTGAAAGAGCCACAAAAAATATTTAAAACAGAATCTAGTCCGTCAGTGTATTTGGTGGTGCAATAATAATATAAATCAATTTATCTGAAGATATTTTATTGATTTTTCATTGTATTATTACATACTCTACACTAGATAAACTACTATTATGTAATGTATCTATTTCAGTGATAGTTGATTACTTGTATATATGGGATAAATGTATTGTTTTTAATTATATTGGAGTGAAAAACAAACTAACAATGCACCTCATGGTAAATAGCTACTACAGAACAATGACACCTAAAATGCCCAGTTATAAAGCCAGTTCACTTACCCATCAACCCGAAAAATAGCAATGGTACACACCTCTATCAAAATAAGTTCTGTTCTAAACTTTTTAGAAGGGCTCTGTAAAATAATCAAGTATTTTTTTATAACTGGATACCTAATTGGGTCGGTAAGTGGCATGTTGACAAGTTGAATTTTTATTACGCGAAAGTCTACAGCAGGACATCTTCAGCAATTCAACAAAGAATAATTTTACTGTCTTTTATTTCCCTATCAACTAGACTTGACTGTTTTCTCTTATTACATAAGATTCAAAACCATTATTGACAAACTATCATGACTTATAATATGTTATTTTAGTTATAATAGTTAAAGATTCAAAAGTTATTTCCATGTATGACTTTGTTATTGAATACTTCATCGTCATCATTTTTATTATAGCCATTCGCAAGTCCTTTGCTAAATATAAGCCTTACCCCAAGAAATGTCACAAATCACATTTCAGAGTTACCTGCATCCATCTAATTCCTATATCTTATACCAGGACTTTATTTCATCTATTTTTTATAGGATAAGGGTGGCAAGCGAGTACACAGTCCACCTATTGGTAAGTGGTTACTGTAGCCCATAGACATCTAAATCTATTCTCGTTTGCGAATCAAAATGCAGATGCGTTGCCAGCCGTGAGAACTAAGATGGAATGCCTCTTTTCCAGTAAAAAATGTATCCGCATTATGCTTCTATTGTACGCTGGTACTCTGTGAGAGCGTGGTCCTTCCCCGTTCGAGTCGACCCATTCGTGCTACAACTATACAATTAATGTAGCTGCAGCATGCCTCCACCACGTTTAATCTAGCGGAGATCGCACTACACTTCGATTTAAGGTACGAGACTGCCACTCGAGAACCTTTCTTTCCATCGGTGAAGGCAGGCCCATTGCCACTTCAGATAACTGATCTAATAAGCACATTATTAGCAGACAATTCTGAAAAGTTGTTACCGCGATAATAACGCCAGGCCTAATTAGTATAATTATTTTTATTTCATAGACAATTACAGCAGAAGGCCAGTTGAATTAGTAACAGGATTCGAATAGTTAATCAAATAACGGTGCATTTTATATTACAAAGTGGGTAAATTGTCACATGGTCCATTCATAAATTTATTTTTTTAAAGAAAATACTTTCAAAAAGTTTTTCAATTTCCGGACAGACTACGTTTTCTCAATTTCGCAACCTCCATCCTAATTTATCCAGTAAGAAGATTGAAAGAGATGATTTTATTGTACATCCCGCTGTTCCCAGGTAAATTTAACAATTTAAACATGCTTTTATAATGGAATTATCCCCGATGTATTTATCCAAACCTTATTGCTACGAAAAACTCGCCTTTGAATAACATGATTTTTTGAAAAAGATTTCAATTTGGTGGAACTAATGTAATAAATATACTAGCATAATTACTACGATATAATTATAAATAGAAAAACGAGAGCCTTTACAGCTCAGGGGCTCGCTGTAAATTTCACAGTATGTTTTGGGTCCCTGCCGGCAACAATGATGAATTCGTCTTTGTAATTTGTGATGATTTAACATGTCCTCGATGAAGCACAAGTCAAATAAAAACATGGAATGGAATATCTTCTCTATATATAATTACAACAAAGAATACAAAAAATACATAATAAAAATGTATCTTATTACTTATTAAATTCATGTAATATAGTACTATATATTTCGATGACATTTTTCAGCTCCTATGATTGTGAATTGCATCAAATTAGTGACTTCACGGAGCGTCAGAAACCGTCAAGTGTGATAGCTTTAACGACCTGCGTGAAACGTCTTAAGTGTATTTTCTTGTAGGTGTACTTTATAAAGCTAATTGGATCGACTCTACTCGGCTTCTGTTCATCCGTTTAAGGCAACGCGAACGGTTCATTAGGCCTGTCTTAACAGTCTTAATTAAATAAGCACTCGTAGTGATGTTTTCCAATCTAGATGAACTCATTAAAATCAATTGCTAAAATTGGTTGATTAATATTCGTTTCAAGTAAAACAAATAAATACTTCTCTAAATACTGCAAATGTTATAAAATACAAAATGTACAAGCAAAATCAGTCTAAATATAACATATTAAAACTACTACAACTCGACGGAAATATGTGTGAACCTGTCAAATAACGTCATTCTAATAGGCGAATACGGGGCTAGGTGTGGTGCAGCGCGGGGAAAACCGCATCCCTGTGCGGTCTGTTGAAGTTTTCGGCAGGTTGTAAAGAATATTGTATTTCAATGGTTTTAAATATATAAGCGATTTTAATTGATACATGGTGTTGGAATTACCTATAAATAGGTTTTCCGCCGTTTTTCCGAAACCAAAGAACCATGTAGACACGGTCTTCATTTGTGTCAGGTGTGACATCGCATGGAAGTGATGCAGTCCGCCCAAGCACTGCGTCTACGTCCACTGTTGATACTGCACAAAGAAGAAACATTTTTTATACATACAAAAAATTTAAAATAAGCTGAAACAGAATTCGCAAAAGTTTCTTTTTCTATTAAGTAACCTTGAAGTAAATATTTAGTTTAGTAGAGAAATATTCAAGTCCATTGCTGAACAAAGGCCTCATCCAATTAAAATACATTCGGACATAATTTTATTATTTTTAGCTTAAATAAACTTATTTATTACTATCTGTATCTGCGACTAGTTTAGTTAAAATTTACGTTCATCCCTTAAACATAAAACCTCCCTAACTCGGTTAATATTGACGGGAGGAAGAAAATCATGAAACCTTTTTTATAAAAAAAAATAAGCTCTACACATTTTTATAAGAAATTTTTTGTCTAATTTTTACCATTTTCGAGTAATTGCAAAAAAGCAATTTTGACAATTTTTTTCAACCTTTGCCAGGGGTTGCCGACACGAACATTTTACAACAGACAACGACATTACACATTGTTTTTTTATCATTAAAACTACCATATATATCAAATCAAAATATATCAAAAATGAAAAGTTGAGTGCCAAAATTGTGATTTCAGACCTTATTTGACTGAACTAAGTTATTTTTCTTACATTGTTTTAAACAAAAGTAAATAGGTAATTTAATCAGTTTTGAGTTTATTATTTCAGCCACAATTTTTATTTTATAAGCTACAAAGCAGAAAGCACTGATTCTCATCATTATCATTTATCATCATCATTACAGCTCTTCACAAGTCCACTGCTGAATATAGCTGCTGCTGGCATTCCTTGAGGGAAGCCCCCAAGGAATACCCGCTCCTGAGCCACCTGCATCTATCGACTTCCTGCATGTCTTACTAGGTCGTCACTTCATCTAGTGGAGGACGCCCTAAACTTCGTCCGCCGGTACGAGGCCGCCACTCGAGAACCTTTTTTCACCATCGGTTGTCGATTCTTCGAGCTATATGGCCAGCCCATTGCCACTTCAGCTTACTAATCCACTGGGCTATGTCGGTCACTCTGGTTCTAATGTGGATATCCTCATTTCTAAGTTTATCATGCAGAGAAACTCCGAGCATAGCCCTCTCCATAGCTCGCTGAGCGACCTTGAGCTTCCTCATTCGGCCAGCAGTGAAGGACCACGACTCCGTTCCATAAGTCGTCACTGGTAACACGAGCTGGTTGTAGTCTCGTTTTCAAGTTTTGAGGTATACCTGACTGAGCCGATTTGAATCCGTCGGTTGACCTCCCGTTCCAAGTTGGACTTACTCATTATGCATATGCGTTGCCACCCTTGAGGACTCCTCACTTACCATACGAAACATAGCAGCAATAAGCTGGTGTTTCACACTGGTATTCTGTGAAAGTGTGGTCCTTCCCTGGACGTGCCGATCCATTCATGCTACGACCATAATATGACTGCAACATGGCATTACCACGTATTAATCTACTACTGTTCCTAACCAGATTTTTATATTAAACTTATGTGCATACGTAACATAGGGATAGTAGCTAAAACGGGACTGCGCCAAAGTGAGTTGGCGAAATGATAAGCTGCTCCTTAGGTCCTTTGCCTGAGCCTTGTTTATTGTCATGGAAAATTTAATACCCACCAGGACCTTGATTAATTTAAGCCGTAACCGAAGAACCAATAGTAAACTAAACAACAATGTTCGTCTAAATGGCAGCTGATTTAAGCCAAGTATCATTATAAAAGTTTGGTTTATTGTCGGTAAATATTAAACTAAATCTTCATTGAAACTTAAATATTGTAAAATGATAACAGCGATCGTTAATCGATAATTGTATATAATTAACATCTTCAAACTTTGATAGATATAAGATATCGCGATATAAAATGAAATTTTATGAAAGATATGTTTTCAGAAGTTACTTACTTTTGTTAAAAAATTAGTTTTAGTCAATTTTTTAGAATTTTTTTCGCAAAATAATTAATGTATATAAAAGCTTATTCAAATAAAGATGAGATTTTCAGATTTTTCAAACATAGCAATTTTAATTACACTCATACAGTTTATATAGTTTGATCGAACGAAAAAAACTCTCAATTTTCGTTTTTATGCCGCTGTTATCACCAGTTTTTTAAATTAAAATTGAAATGTTCGAAGCTGAAGATACCATATGAAAGCACCTTTCAATTTAGAAGCATAATGACAGGGTTTCAATAATCGAAACAAAGCGATTATACTTTATTAAATTATATATTAATAATCTACAGACACCAGTGAGATTTTTTAAAGCGCTTTCATGAGGAATTCCATATAACTAACGATGTCATAATATTACGTGCGATTTCATAAGTAAAACTGAACTGTTGTGAGACATACTAAAATATTTATTTATTACATGATGTATACTTCTTATACGATTTTACAAAAATAAGTTTTATTTTTTCCCTGAAACCCGAGTAGTGGAGTAAATTGTAGGGTGCGTAACACTTTCCGCTAAGCATTGTGGTCACACTTTTATTAATAATTTACTTCTCTATCATTTAACTTAAGTAATCTCTCAGTTACTTTCACGATCGTGCGGTTTCGTAGTCATACTGACATGGGTCACGGTCTAGGAGTTTATCACAGCGTGGATCTTAGTTTAGAATCTCAGTCAAAGTCACAGCACCATTTAACATCAGGTGGGATAGCTGTCAAGCACTGGCATGTAAAAGTCTAATGTTTTCAACTAAAATCAATTTTTTTGCGTATTTGACTGTATTGACACCGTCCGCTGTCTCTGGAAAAAGGCTAGGGTACAAACCCTAGCTTACAGATAGATTAAAAAGCTAGGGTACAAACCATAGCTTACAGATAGATTTACCCTAGCTTACCTTTAGAGACTTATCACAAATGATTGCCTCTTTGTTTGTATATTCACATCATGTATTATTGCTAATATCATCTGCGCAGTTAATACCTTTAGATAAGGTAATTTGTTAAAATAATTAAAATTAGCCGGGTATAATTAAAATTAGTAGTCAGCATAAAAATTATAATTTTTAGGCTCTTTTCGTAAAAGTGCTTTTAGTCACCCAATGTATTACGTTTAAAATGTGGGTAAAATGTTGTGATATATTTTCTAAATACCATTTCAATTTATAAATCTCTTTCTAGCTTGACTGACCCTAGTTTAAGCCAGCATTTATTTCGGCGTAGTTAATTGAAGCTCTGCGTTTGCTTTTCGTTAATAATGTATATCAATCTTTTTTTAAATGCTGTTTGCGCCAGATGAGGTGTTTAAATTTTTCGTTTAATTCACATTCTGGTATGAAACAGCAAATAGGCACTTTATTACTCAAAAACGCTTTCAATTACGTTCTTTTTTTTTTAAGAATATTATTTACAAAACTATTACAAAAGTGTACGTTACTTTACACACAGTTTTATATAGGATGTTTTTTTAATATAAATTAGTCAATATTTCAGGTATTATAATTTTTGTCGAAAGAGGTATTCTCAGAGAAATTAATCTCATGGCATTACCCCAAGTGGCACGTTCGATTGATGGGTTGTCAAACGCAGAAAGATTCTTCTCATAAATACAAGGTGCTGAAGCTCGAGTTATCTTTTATATAAATGACATTTTTACAATATCAATGTCAGTATGAAGGATTGTCAGATTAAACTTTGCAAGTTTTGGGTTAAATCTGTGATAGTTTTAAATCAACATGTCCGTTTTAAATTAATGTAATAATTCAAATTAAAAAATTAGAAGAGAACCGCGAAATACCTTTTCATCGTTCTTTCATCAGCCTATAAAGGTTCACTGCTGTTGTGTGCTTACGTTGTAAGGAGGCCTTAATCACCTTGCTTAGGAGGTGGATTGGCTATTGCAGTAACATACGCCTTGCATTATTTACGTTGCTTCTCGTCAAAGGTCTAGTACTTAACAACAGGCGTAAACGATATTTTTTATGAGATATGGGTGACAAACGAGCAACAGTCAACCTGATGGTAAGTGATTGCTGTGGTCCATAGGCATCTATATCTATGCTCGATTACGAATCCAAAGGCAGACGGGTTTTCATCCATGTGGAATAAGATGAAATGCCTCGTTTTAAGTTAAAAGGGTCACCGGTTCTCTACACTTACCATACGAAACAAGAAACACAGCAGCGTTAGGCTGCTATTTTACGCTGGTATTCTATGAGAGCGTGGCCCTGCCCCGGTCGAGCTGAACTATTTGTGCTACAACTATACCAGCAATATAGCTGCAGCATGATTCTACCATGTAAGTACGTAACAATATGGTTATATTTAATCATACTTTGGAAGCCATTAAATATTTCTGGCTTTTCCTATAGTCGTCATTTACGACCCACATGTTGAAAATGATATATTCTCATTTACACTGAGTATAAATTATTTTTATTTCTTTTTTTATGTATTCTTTACAAATATATTTGTCGGTCTATCATGTTCTCCCCTTCTATTATCGGCCAATACTAAGGTATACTGGCACAAACAACGCTGTATCTTCTGTATATTAAAAAAAGGGCAGCCGTGTCGACCCTGCCAATTATCGGCCAGTTTCAATTACCTCCATACTCTGTAAGATTATGGCGCGTATATTGAACGCCCGCTTAATGGCATACCTAAAACAGAATGACCTCTTTAGTGACCGCCAATATGAGTTTTGCCAAAATCGGTCAGCTGGGGACCTTCTAGCGTATGCCACACACGTATGGGGCGAAGCACTCAAGAACAGTGGAGAAGCACTCGCTGTTTCCCTTGATGTCTCGAAGGCCTTTGACAGAGTTTGGCACACTAGCCTTTAGGATAAGCTTCCAATGTACGGCTTATCCCCTGCTCTGATTGGGAAAAGGACTTTCGGAGTGAACGATCTCTCTGGGTCGTCGTTGATGGCTGCTCATTCGAACCTGTTGCGACTAACGCCGGTGTCCCACAAGGGTCTTTCCTCACCGCAAATTTCTTCCTGCTGCATAATAATGATCTGATTATGCCCGGTATCTATGGGTATGCAGACGATAGCACAGTTGTTGAGATATACCAA